TTTTTTTTTTTCTGGAAAACAAAACCCTACCAGAATAACGGCAGCGTGTTGCATGTTGCATCAGGTTTGGTCGGATGCATGCGTGAAATACGGGTGAACGACGAGAGGATAGAGCCTAGGTACGTGATCAACACGGAGAGAGTGATCGGCGAGGTAGCCTTGGATAATTGCCAATTCGTCGATCCTTGTACCAGACCGAACACTTGCGAGCACGGAGGGAAATGTTCGGTGAAAGAGGACAGGATTACCTGCGATTGTACCGACACCGGTTACATGGGCAAGAATTGTCACTTTAGTGAGTGTTAATTTAACGTGACTCGATAAAGAAGAAAAGAGCCAATCACTCGAGATATATATATATAAAGAAAAAAGAAATTTCAGCTCAGTATAGAAAAACCTGCGAAGAATTGGCATTGCTGGGATACAACGAGGACAAGCTCTACGAGATCGACATCGACGGGAACGGCAGGTTTCCGCCGGCTCTCGTGAAATGCGAGTTCCAGTCGATCGAAGATTCGACGAAGACCATCGTCGAGCACAATCTACCCTCGCAGATTGACGTCCGCTCGATCGCAGAGTCCGACTTCTCCTTCAATATCAAGTACAGAGAGTTCACCGCGGAGATGCTGCAGGAACTGATATCGCACTCGTTGTACTGCAGCCAGTACGTCAAGTACGACTGCTACAAGGCGCCGTTGGAATTGCACAGCGCCACGTGGTTCCTCAGCTCGAAAGGAACCACCGTGGATTACATTGGAAACGTGAATAGGGGATCCTGCCCTTGTGGAAGTGAGTATCGCACATTCGTAGACTGTGCGAGTAACACTAACTTTCTCACTCGTGATCGAAAAACTTTTGTACATATTTTCTAAAAGCTCGTGAGCACACCCTTTTCCTACTCGTGATAGAAAAACTTTGTGCGATATCAGTAGTAATTTTAGTATAATACTGACAATGATATGTAAAAAAATTTCTTGAAAAATTGATACATCACTATGATATTGGTATGACGGTATAATGATATCACGCCATTATAATATTGTAATAAATATGTCATATTTATGTCATTATAATAACATATTAATGATACATTATAATGATAAATATTACATACTACAGTATTAATATAATTGTAATAATGTTATATTATATTATAATTAATATAATTATAAACGCTGAACGTACGTGTGCGTTTAGTGAACAGGACATGCGTCGACCCGAATCTAAGCTGTAACTGCGACGTCTCTGCCGGGAACGCCGGGAAATGGCTGTCCGACGAAGGATACTACGAAACACCAGATTCCTTGGGTATCACCGAAATGGTATTCCTGCAGCAAAGAGACCTCGAAGAGGATGCACAGGGACGAATCACCTTGGGACCGTTGGAATGCGTCGAAACGAGTCAGTGGCCACCCTCTCTTACGTCACACTGGTTCTACACTGGTTTCCGATTTTTTCACCAATTTTTTTTTTTTTTTTTTTTGGCCAACTTCCAGATACGCAGAAATACGTCGTCACTTTCACGACCTCGCAGTCGTACATCGAGGTGCCAGGTTGGAGGAAAGGCGATATAGCGTTCAGTTTCCGAACAACCGGGGAGAAAGCCATTCTTCTGTACCAACCACCGATAAGGAGCAATTATCCATCGTTCATGGTCGCTCTAACTTCGGAGTACCGATTGACGTTCAACTTCACTCTGAACACTGGCACGATAAGGGAGTTGGAGGTGAACAGCCAAAGGAAATTGAACAACGGCGAATGGCAGAAGATATGGATCGATTACAACGATTATCACGTCAGATTTATGATCAACACGGATTATCGAATGGTCGATCTGCTGCCTGAGGAGGAGTTTGGTCCCTTCGAAGGTTCCATGTTCATCGGTGGAGCAACTGCGTGAGCATTTTTGTTTCTTTCAATGAGTTTCGAGAGATCCTTTTCGTTTTCGATTTATTAATGTAGAAAAAGGAAAGAAAGGTCAAGATAAAAAGAAAAAAAAAGAAAAAGTGGAAACGATTCTCTCGTCTGTGCAGAGAACACTTGAGGACCTCCTCAGTTCGTCAAGGACTGATCGGCTGCTTTCGCGGTTTGGTCGTGAACGGGGAGATCTTGGACATCCACAGCTACATGTCGGTCCACTTGTCCGAGATCATAAAAGACTGCAAGCCCTCCTGTCAACCGAACAAGTGCCAGAACGGCGCCAGGTGCGTAGAACTGTGGAGCAACTTCGAGTGCGTCTGCGAGAACAGATGGGCTCACCTTGGCACCTATTGCGAGAGGAGTAAGCTTTCTGCACCCACTTTCGAATCACGTCAATCGCGTCAATCCGTAACCATTTCGTTTCGCCACTCCGATTTATCTTCACATTCCTGTTTTCCCGATTGAATCGTCCAGACATAAACAACAAGGCGTTGACGTTCACGTCGCAAGGTGCGTTTCTCAAGAAGAACTACTTCGGCACGGACGAGGAGGACGAGGAGAAACTGCTGTTGAAGAGCATAATGTTGCAAAATATTCTGATCAACCTGAGAACTTACGACACTCATTCGCTGATACTGTACGCGAACGACCATTTGAACAATTTCGCTCATCTCTACATTTCGAACGGCACCAGTATTGTGTATTTATTCAACGCTGGTAACGAGATTAAGAACATCACCGTCGAGTACCCCGGTAATTGGAAGAGATATTTTATTCAAGCATGTTATTCCATCAAGATATAAATCTGTAAATATATTCTCTATCTTTCTGTGTTCGAATTTCGAATATACTCGAGTTTTATGCTCCTCAATCAGGCGTGAATACAGGGATCTCGATTCAAATCGCGATTATTCGAAACGAGAGGTCGACGACGCTTCACGTGAACGAGTACAACTGCACGCTGAACGCCACGCCGATCCTACTGGACACGTATTCGAACAAACCTTGGACAAATCCGGAGAAGGAAGTGCTAGCGCCTCAGAGGCCACCGGCACCGCCCACCAATTACTTCCAGGTGAGACTTTCGAGCTTTGAAGTTGGGATCGAATGTACGCAATGATCAGCAATCTTACATAGGTGAATCTAGGGGGCTTCGACCCGGACGACCTGCTGAGGGTCGGCAAGGAAGACATGCAAATCAAGGGCTACGTCGGTTGCCTTCGCGGGCTGATGATCGGCGAGTATCTGGTCGATTTACCCAACCTCGCGAACGAGGCCAACCACGAAGGCAGCAAAGGGGTGCTGCCCAACTGTCAAATGAAATGCGACGCTGTGCCCTGTAAGAACTTGGGCATCTGCACGGAAGATTTCGGCAGGCAGGAGTCTTCCTGCAACTGCGAGCTGACGTCCTATTTCGGCGAGCATTGCGCCGATGGTGAGAAACTTCTATCTCAATCCC